GCCCACACTGTCCACACTGACCCTGCTGCCCACACTGACCACACTGCCCCTGCTGACCCCACTGCCCACACTGACCACACTGTCCACACTGACCCTGCTGACCCCACTGCCCACACTGACCACACTGTCCACACTGACCCCACTGCCCACACTGACCCTGCTGACCCCACTGCCCACACTGATCCTGCTGCCCACACTGACCCTGCTGACCCCACTGCCCACACTGACCCTGCTGACCCCACTGCCCACACTGCCCCTGCTGACCCCACTGCCCACACTGCCCACACCCGGCCGCCCAGCCCCAGGGGCTGCTGTCACGACTGCAGAGGGTTGACTTCAATCAGCGAGTGGCGTCAGCAGCGCAGCAGCGACATGCGTCTGTCCGGTTTGTCGCTGTGTCGCATGCCGGAGACCCGTGGCAGTTTTAAAGCAGCTTGACAGACTGCCTTTGTAGAAGGCTGTGACTCGACTGACCTGAGTTTGGATTAGGCTCTCCGCTGTCCACTTTCTGTGTCCAACATGTCTTGTGCGTGCATACGTTATGGGAATGAGTGGCCCTCACTAGTGAGGACTTCACAAAGCTTTGAAAGAAGGACAGTCAGAAGAAACTTTGAATCTTTTAATAATTGAATGACATGTGCTTATAATGCCACAGTCAGCAGCTGTGCTAGGGATAGGGGCTTATATGTAGCTCTTCTATGAAATTCCTTTCAAGGTTATGGTGTGTGTTTCTTAAGAGTGAGCATGTGTTTACGAAGACAACCCATCGATTTAGGTGCCCGGTTATTGTTCTTCTCCTGTGCTTTTTCAGATGGCTCAGCCTTCTCTTCCGGTTGGGGGTCCGTTTACTCATGTCCAGTCTTTTCCAAGCCTCTTCTCTGCCCTTCTTATCCGGGGAATGGGTGGCCAACCCCCCCAGAGACATTGCCTTAGCTTGCCTGTACCCCCACCTCAAGGTGATTTAAAGAAAACGGAGGAACGACAAGGAGTAGAGAAGGATGCTGGGTCTGGTCTGTGTTTCGAGCTCAGAGAGGGCCGTGAGGTCACTGGGACAGAATGAATAAACAGATACAGGGCGGGGCAGACAGACAGAGAGATCTGTGGTCACGGATATAAGGATAGATAAAAAGATACATATGTAGACATGAATGAATAAATACAAAAATGAGTGGGTAGATCGAGAAATGTGGCTATATGGATAAAGAGGTACATGTGTACACATGAATGAATATTTAGATGTACAGATACAGTGTATAGAGAGGAATGAGTGTTCAGCTGGGCTGATTACAATATAGATATATATATATGAATAAAGAGGTACATGTATAGACAGGAATGAGTGTTCAGCTGGACTGATTACA